ATGCCAAACACCGTGGAACTTCAATTCAGTTGATTTCTTCAAACTCCCAAACACCGTGGAACTTCAATTCAGTTGATTTCTTCAAATCCCAAACACCGTGAACTTCAATTCAGTTGATTTCTTCAAATCCCAAACACCGTGGAACTTCAATTCAGTTGATTTCTTCAAATCCCAAACACCTTCAATTCAGTGGAACTTCAATTCAGTTGATTTCTTCAAATCCCAAACACCGTGAACTTCAATTCAGTTGATTTCTTCAAATCCCAAACACCGTGGAACTTCAATTCAGTTGATTTCTTCAAATCCCAAACACCGTGGAACTTCAATTCATTTCTTCAAATCCCAAACACCGTGGAACTTCAATTCAGTTGATTTCTTCAAATCCCAAACACCGTGGAACTTCAATTCAGTTGATTTCTTCAAATCCCAAACACCGTGGAACTTCAATTCAGTTGATTTCTTCAAATCCCAAACACCGTGGAACTTCAATTCAGTTGATTTCTTCAAAAACCCAATTCAGTTGATTTCTTCAAATGCCAAACACCGTGGAACTTCAATTCAGTTGATTTCTTCAAATGCCAAACACCGTGGAACTTCAATTCAGTTGATTTCTTCAAATCCCAAACACCGTTCAATTCAGAACTTCAATTCAGTTGATTTCTTCAAATCCCAAACACCGTGGAACTCAATTCAGTTGATTTCTTCAAATCCCAAACAAACAATTCAGTTGATTTCTTTCATCCCAAACACCGTGGAACTTCAATTCAGTTGATTTCTTCAAATGCCAAACACCGTGGAACTTCAATTCAGTTGATTTCTTCAAATCCAACTTCACACTTCAAATCCCAAACACAGTGGAACTTCAATTCAGTTGATTTCTTCAAATCCCAAACACCGTGGAACTTCAATTCAGTTGATTTCTTCAAATCCCAAACACCGTGGAACTTTCAGTTGATTTCAAATCCCAAACACCGTGGAACTTCAATTCAGTTGATTTCTTCAAATCCCAAACACCGTGGAACTTCAATTCAGTTGATTTCTTCAAATCCCAAACACCGTGGAACTTCAATTCAGTTTCTTTTGGAACTTCAAAGTTGATTTCCCAAACTTCAATTCAGTTGATTTCTTCAAATCCCAAACACCGTGGAACTTCAGTTGATTTCTTCAATTCAGTTTCAATTCAGTTGATTTCTTCAAATCCCAAACACCGTGGAACTTCAATTCAGTTGATTTCTTCAAATCCCAAACACCGTGGAACTTCAATTCAGTTGATTTCTTCAAATCCCAAACACCGTGGAACTTCAATTCAGTTGATTTCTTCAAATCCCAAACACCGTGGAACTTCAATTCAGTTGATTTCTTCAAATGCCAAACACCGTGGAACTTCAATTCAGTTGATTTCTTCAAATCCCAAACACCGTGGAACTTCAATTCAGTTGATTTCTTCAAATCCCAAACACCGTGGAACTTCAATTCAGTTGATTTCTTCAAATCCCAAACACCGTGGAACTTCAATTCAGTTGATTTCTTCAAATCCCAAACACCGTGGAACTTCAATTCAGTTGATTTCTTCAAATCCCAAACACCAAACTTCAATTCAGTTGATTTCTTCAAATCCCAAACACCGTGGAACTTCAATTCAGTTGATTTCTTCAAATCCCAAAATCACCGTGGAACTTCAATTCAGTTGATTTCTTCAAATGCCAAACACCGGAACTTCAATTCAGTTGATTTCTTCAAATCCCAAACACCGTGGAACTTCAATTCAGTTGATTTCTTCTTCAAAATTCAGTTGATTTCTTCAAACAAACACCGTGGAACTTCAATTCAGTTGATTTCTTCAAATCCCAAACAGCGTGGAACTTCAATTCAGTTGATTTCTTCAAATCCCAAACACCGTGGAACTTCAATTCAGTTGATTTCTTCAAATCCCAAACACCGTGGAACTTCAATTCCAGTTGATTTCTTCAAATCCCAAACACCGTGGAACTTCAATTCAGTTGATTTCTTCAAATCCCAAACAATTCAGTTGGAACTTCAATTCAGTTGATTTCTTCAAATCCCAAACATCGTGGAACTTCAATTCAGTTGATTTCTTCAAATCCCAAACACCGTGGAACTTCAATTCATTTCTTCAAATCCCAAACACCGTGAACTTCAATTCAGTTGATTTCTTCAAATCCCAAAACACCGTGGAACTTCAATTCAGTTGATTTCTTCAAATCCCAAACAGCGTGGAACTTCAATTCAGTTGATTTCTTCAAATCCCAAACAGCCTTCAATTCAGTTGATTTCTTCAAATCCCAAACACCGTGGAACTTCAATTCAGTTGATTTCTTCAAATGCCAAACACCGTGGAACTTCAATTCAGTTGATTTCTTTCAAAGTTGATTTCCCCAAACACCGTGGAACTTCAATTCAGTTGATTTCTTCAAATCCCAAACAGCGTGGAACTTCAATTCAGTTGATTTCTTCAAATCCCAAACAGCGTGGAACTTCAATTCAGTTGATTTCTTCAAATCCCAACACCGTGGAACTTCAATTCAGTTGATTTCTTCAAATCCCAAACACCGTGGAACTTCAATTGATTTCTTCAAATGCCAAACAGCGTGGAACTTCAATTCAGTTGATTTCTTCAAATCCCAAACACCGTGGAACTTCAATTCAGTTGATTTCTTCAAATCCCAAACACCGTGGAACTTCAATTCAGTTGATTTCTTCAAATCCCAAACAGCGTGGAACTTCAATTCAGTTGGTTTCTTCAAATCCCAAACACCGTGGAACTTCAATTCAGTTGATTTCTTCAAATCCCAAACAAAACTTCAATTCAGTTGAAAATCCCAACAGCGTGGAACTTCAATTCAGTTGATTTCTTCAAATCCCAAACACCGTGGAACTTCAATTCTGTTGATTTCTTCAAATCCCAAACATCGTGGAACTTCAATTCAGTTGATTTCTTCAAATCCCAAACAGCGTGGAACTTCAATTCAGTTGATTTCTTCAAATCCCAAACACCGTGGAACTTCAATTCAGTTGATTTCTTCAAATCCCAAACACCGTGGAACTTCAATTCAGTTGATTTCTTCAAATCCCAAACACCGTGGAATTTCAGTTCAGTTGAGTTCTGCAAATCAGAAACTTTGAGGAACTTAAAAAAAAACTCGCCTCACGAAGCCACTGATTTTTATTCTGATTTCTTGGTATTTTGAAGAAATAACATTGATTTCCTCAATTCACAAAGATTTGGAGATATTTTACACTGAATTTAAAACAAAAAAATTAAATTAACATAGTTTTTATATTACATTAAACTCAATATAAATGAAAAACTTTTAAAATGTCTGAAAAAAATTTAGTGATTTTAAAACTTTTAAATTCGAACTTTAAAATAACTGAAAAAATTGTGATTTTGAAATTTGAATTTTTAACTGTTCCCTCGTCGTCCGGACATAAATCCCAATTCTGGATGTTCAAGCACTAGATGACGGGTAGAATTTCAATCCCAGGTTCATCCTGATTCCAAAAAGGTATAATATGTCTATATAGAGCAACTTTCGACCGAGTTAGAGGGATTTCAGTCATGCAGACGGACAGACAGGATTTGCCTTTTATTTATTTAGATGTCAACAGTATTACAACGGCTTTCTCAGACCAATGATTAAAAATGACTTCTCAGGTCAATGATTAAAAATGACGTCTTAGATCAATGATTAAAAATGACTTCTCAGGTCAGTGATTAAATGACTTCTCAGATCAATGATTAAAAATGACTTCTCAGATCAATGATTAAAATGACTTCTCAGGTCAATGATTAAAAATGACTTCTCAGATCAATGATTAAAATGACTTCCCAGGTCAATGATTAAAAATGACTTCTCAGGTCAATGATTAAAATGACTTCTCAGGTCAATGATTAGAAATGACTTCTCAGATCAATGATTAAAATGACTTCTCAGGTCAATGATTAAAATGACTTCTCAGGTCAATGATTTAAAATGACTTCTCAGGTCAATGATTAAAAATGACTTCTCATATCAATGATAAAAATGACTTAGATCAATAATTAAAAATGACTTTTCAGGTTAATGATTAAAAATGACTTCTCAGATCAATGATTAAAAATGTCGTCTTAGATCAATGATTAAAAATAACTTCTCAGGTCAATTATTATTCTAGAGAATGTAGGTCTTGGTGAGGATTATCGTTATTCTTTCAACAGCAGCAACAACTGAAATGGGTATCACATGTAATTCGATGATAAAATGTTGACATAAGATGTTGACGTTCCACACTACTTGAGACAAAAGGTTAAGAAGAAAACTCCCATCAGTACAAGAAAGATCGATAACAGTTAGTGGACATGAGAAACCTATTTTCCTGAAAAAAAGAAATGTTTCAAAAGAAAGATTTGATTGAATTCAACCGACAGTAAGACTGGCTTCTCGGTCAGTGAATATATAAGTAAACAGGTAATATAACTTTGACCAATTGCAAAATTGGTTAAAATTTCGCTAGATATTCCGTAAAATAGGACTTCATATTTTTACTAACTTTACTGAACATCTTAACATAGACTACATGAAAGGAAATATTTTTTTCAGAACTAGAGAACGTTTAGAGTTTAACCTAAATAATCCCGCCCTGGGTAAGACGATAAACTACATCCGACAGCCAGCCTCTGATTAAGAGGTTTTGAGCAGCATGGAACCAGCTCTTAATTGCTGGTGTTCCTAGGCCCACCCTAGCCCGTGATAGTAGCACTTGTTAGGGTCCCAACTATGGGCAAATAGTTGACCCCAAACTGGGGTCAAAACACTATGAAAATGTAAAAATAGGTTTTAATACGAGCATTACATTTTTGTAAAAGCTTATTACCAGCAATGAATTTTTGAACAAAAAATTATTACCAGCAATACATTTTTGAAAAATATTAACAGCAATAAAAATCTTGTCGGCATTAAATAACTCATTGAGGTTGATATGCGGTAAAACAAAACAAACTAACCCAATATATACTGAGATAGATAGATAGATAGATAAGAACAGAGAGAAATGATTATTAGATAGATAGATAGATAGATAGATAGATAGATAGATAACAGACTGAGATAGATAGACAGATAGATAGATAGATAGATAGATAGATAGATAGATAGATAGAAAATATTACCAGCAATAAAAATCTTGTCGGCATTGAATAACCTATAGAGGTTGATATATCGTAAAACAAACCAAACCAAACCTAAATTATCTTTGGGGATTCTATAACTTTTTCCTAAATTTGGTGGTTTAGGAATTATAATTATTTTATATTTATATTTATATTCGGACTCTTGTCCTCATTTTGTTGTTGTTTCGACCGTTGTGCTCTCCTACCTTCATCGGGTGGATATCGATGTAGTTAACCTACAAGGAATTTGGAACTGAACGCTTTATTCAATCAAACATGAGTAGACTGTCCTCATTCCACTGTCCATATCTAGGGATATCTCGTTGAGTTCTTTTAGTAATGTTCATTTATTTCCGACTGAGTCCAGGAAGTGAACTCATAAACACATACACCAATGCTTTTATCCATTAGGTGAAGTCACAGTGAACTTAGAGTTTTAAACTTAACCTTCCTGCTTATTAGGTTGCAATTGCTGCTGTCTGTCAAGTTTTGGCTGTTGCTGCTGCTGCTGCGTCTGCCCATGTTTTGATTACTGTTATTGCTTGCCTGTTTCCAGTGAGTCCAAGTACACACTGCTCGGCCCAGGGATGAAACTCACAATTACTACGTCACCAAATTCATGAACGGAACCAATGAAATTTATTGTTACGTGCGTTATGTACCGAAGGAACCCCCAATCTCTTACGACTGATATAAGATACCCCGGGAGCGAGCAAACGGGGAAACAAATACTCTTTTCCCTTATCTCAACCACGTCTTATTTCCATTTGTTGTCTTGTCACTTCCACTGCTTTTCTTGTTAACAGTAAGGCCGCCGTCACAAACTGTTTAGTTCAGGGATGTCCAACCTTTTTTACCTAATGGGACAAATTAGAAATTTAGGTATATTCACCGGGCCACAAAAGTACTTGATTCAAAACATTGTGAATATCAAATTTTATTAACCTATATATATATATATATATATATATATATATATATAATTATTTATAAATATTTATTCAACACGCTATTCCAACAGTTCTCATTTCTCAAAACAAGAGCCAAAACTTCAATATAATTATTTGAATTAAATTGAATTAAAGTACTAAGTGTTACATCTTCACGCGAATTTTTTTTGAATAACTTATTTCTGAAATTTACGTGTTTTATAAGTAATAAATTTCAGAAAAAAAACCCCCAAAAAATTCACTTGAAGATGGAACAGAGCTTGGTACTTTAATTCAATTTAATTCAATTAATTATATTGAAGTTTTCGGCTCTTGTTTTGAAACATGAGAGCTCTTATGTAGCGTGTTGGAATCATATTTTAAAATAAATAATTATATTTATGCTCTACTTTTGTATTCTATATATTTCACACACACACACACACACACACACACACACACACACACACACACACATATTTCATTGAATACGACAGGCAAGGTGCTTTTATTTAGTTTTTTATACAATTTCTCATGCGATCTCAATTAGATCTCATTTAAATATTCATGGAGACCTACTGGACACTATTCGTAACATAATTGTTGACAACACTAATATAATAGCATCATCAACATGCAAAAAAAGGCTAAAAAATAATGGCAGCCTTATTAATAAAAACAAACAAACCAACACTTAATAATATTAACTTTGAACATGGACATAATATCTTGATAGTGTTTTGAAAAATGAAAACATTTTATAAAACATACATACAACAAACTATTTCTTATTTAACAGTTAAAGTATTTAATCCTTGAAAATGGCTAAATGTATAGCCGAAAGAGCTCGGATAAAAAGAACATTCGGACAGTTTTTATATAATTTATCATCCGAAAAAATGATGAGATCGTATGAGAAATTGTCTAAAAAACTAAATAAAAGCACCTTATTTGTCATAATCAATAAAATGTGAATGAAAGAAAGATTGCTGTCTAAATATAAAATATATATATATATATATATATATATATATATATATATATATATATATATATATATAATATAGAACACTTAGGGCGACAGTCTGTTTCATGCTATATGCAATCGTCAGACTGTCGCCTCTAAGTGTTGACTTCTATGTTCACTTTTATATTTACACACGCTCTATCTCTGATATTGAGCACTTTATCCCATAAATATAGCACACACTTAAGACTATATTTCTTTATATATATATATATATATATATATATGCATATGTATATATAGCATGAAACAGACTATCGTCTCTAAGTGTTGACTTCTATGTTCACTTTTATATATATATATATATATATATATATATATATATATATATATATATATAAGTGAACATAAAAGTCAACACAGAGTTTCATGCTAGAAGATATAAACACCATGTCATCAAATTCACACATTAACGCTTATACCCACTAGGTGAGTGCCATATGTGATACGCGTTTAGGCGATCATGTATCAAAAGATACATGATCGACGAAGCAAATTTTTCCCGCAGTAGGTTGCCAGTTGTTTCTGCAGTAGACCAGTTGCCATCCAAGGCTATAGAACCCGGTCTGTCCTGCTATTTACCCATAGCTGGGGAGAGAAGAAGAGGATTCATACCTTTCTCAAGGGTATTAGCACGTAAGTGAATGTAATGGATTCGACTGGAATTCGAACTCGGCTCTCCGATTCCTCAATCCGAGCCACTATCCATTAATCCACCCTGCCTCTCCCGGTTTTATGGTTCTAGTCTTTATTCTTAGAATTTTTTAGTTAATGGGAATCATTCAACCAATTTCTTTCCGCAGTTTTAACGTTTTTCATGCACGAAAATAATTGTTCACGGCAGTATGTACTATGATTCACTGGCTCTAAAACCAACGTCAGTGTCACCCACGAAGGCAGATCTGACCAGGTTGGCATTAGCGACGGACCCCCACGACAAGCGAGCTTAACCAGGCCATCTACAGCTTCCATCAACAGCGATGCCTTCGGCCAGCGACGAAATCACCAACGGCAGTGACTAATCCAACGCCACTTATTCGGCGTGTAGCTCTCTCACAATCTCTCACACACTCAATCACTAGTCATCATCATCATCATCATCATCATCATCATTCGACCTCCCTGTGGTTGGTCGGAATTCTATTAACAGTCCCTTTCCACACTGTTCGGTTTTGCATTGCCGTTCCCAGATCCCCAATTCCCAACTTTGAGTCGCGAGCCATGGTGTCTAGGAAAGTCAACTTTCGTGAGAAGACACCTCCAGAAGGATGCCATAGAAATAAGGATGAGACAACCTCCCCGTCCGCTCGGTTGCAATGGCCGGCAAACTGTAATCGTTTTTATTGGAGTTTAAGAGATATTGGTCTCAGTTCTCTGTAAATTGTGTTAAGCGTTGCATGGGAACTCCAATCGATGTTCTAAGAAGATTTGTATATGTTCCATCCAGTCTTCTTTCAAGACGAACAGATAATGTCCAAGTTTCTGATCCATACAGTAGAACTGGTTCAATCAGTGTTCGAAAGGTTTGGACTTTTAAAGAGAATGGAAGGTTCGAGCGCCAAATTTTGTGAAGTTTTTTTACACGCTCCCATGCAAGAGCTTTGCGGATGTTGAAGTCTTTTTGGGAATGCATTATGTGAGATCCAAGGTATTTAAAGTTCTTAGCTCTTTTGATAGATGCATTATTGAGTGACTTCAACTCTAATGGTTCAGGGGAGGTTGTGATATATTCTGTCTTCCTCACATTGCAATAGAGACCTACCTGGTTCGTTGCTTGCTCGAGTGATTGCAGCAAGGATTCTGCATCCTTGATACATTGAGAAATTAATGCAAGATCATCGGCAAAGTCAAGATCAGTCAGGTAATGGATGTAGGGTTGGTGTTCCATATTTTGTATCACTCACTACTAGTAGTAGGAGTATAGTATAGCCGGCCACTCGTATTCGAGAATGCCAATCTACTAGGACGGCTAGCCAGTTCCTATTGCAGACGCTTGCATTTATATTTATTCAGCATCCACAGAGCCCACCCGTGGTTTATACTACAACTATGCTGAGCAGACCTTAGTTACAGTTTCTGGGAAAGAGCGTCTTATCTCGCGTGATCAACAATTTGAACAAGGCTAGCAAGCTCAAGCTCTCGACCACGATGACTTGTGGCTTCGTGCTAGCACAGCTATGGACGGGCTCCAAGGGTTCTGTCTATCCAATTTCACTCACAAGGCATGGGTCAACCTGTGGTATGGTTTTCAGGCACTTTCTAAAGGTGCCGCACGATAGGATCGACCCCGCCAGTCCGATTAAATAAGACTTCCTGACAAATCGACCATGGTGAGATTTGAACCCGGGTCTCATGGTCAGAATGTGAACATTCTAACCACTCGGCTACGTACCCATAAATTACTACTACTACTACTACTACTACTACTACTACTACTACTACTAACTATTATTATTATTATTATTATTACCTATTAAAATTATCTGTGTCATCATTTCAGAAGTCTATATTTCTTGGCACTGAAAAAATTCTGCGAAAGGCGATCTCTGCCTGAGCACGTCCAACATGATGGAAAAGATCCATAAAGTCAAATCTCTGGTTGAAAGCGAAAATTGTGTGAAAGAAAAAACAACAACAACAACGACGACGACGACAACAACAACAACAATAATAACAGGATTTTACCAGGAAAAAAAATTAGACTATGAAGGTAGGTTTAGATTACGTTCCGATAGAAGGGATCCAAGAGAATAGGAAATGTCACTAATAACGAGAGAAAAATGTAACCGTCACCCACATAAGTGGCGATAGATGATTACCACAAAAAAGAAAGAAAGAAAGAAAGAAAGAAAGAAAAGAATAAACAGAATGGCTGGATAAGAATGAAAGAAGGAAAGAAAAAAAGAAAATGGCTGGATAGGAAAGAAAGAAAGAAAGAAAGAAAGAAAGAAAGAAAGAAAGAAAGAAAAAAGAAAATGGCTGGATAAGAAAGAAAGAAAGAAAGAAAGAAAGAAAGAAAGAAAGAAAGAAAGAAAGAAAGAAAGAAAAAAGAAAATGGCTGGATAAGAAAGAAAGAAAGAAAGAAAGAAAGAAAGAAAGAAAGAAAGAAAGAAGAGAGAAAGAAAGAAAATGGCTGGATAAGAAGGAAAGAAAGAAAGAAAAAAGAAAGAAAAAAGAAAATGGCCGAATAAGAAAGAAAGAAAGAAAGAAAGAAAGAAAGAAAGAAAGAAAGAAATAAAGAAAGAAAGAAAAAGAAAATGGCTGGATAAGAATGAATGAAAGAAAGAAAAAAAGAAAGAAAGAAAATGGCTGAATACGAATGAAAGAAAGAAAGAAAAAAAAGAAAAAAAAGAAAATGGTGATCCACTGGGAATTATTCAAAAGTTTGATTTTGAACATATAGGCCAATTCTCGAAGTTGTTCCAGAGAATTAAAAAAAAAATATCATGGGATGCTGAAATTGAAACAGGTCACCCCCCCCCCAACCAGACATAGAGACCCGATCAAGTAATCATAAAAAAAAAATCTGTCAGATGACATTATTCCAATAAAGCACAAAGTTAAACTGGGACCTGTCAAAATGGCGCTTGTTCCCCTAATTACTGGAGCAACCGGGATGGTTGCCAAAAAACATTTTTAGTAAATTCGAGAAAGGGTTTCAACATTGGCATAGTGAAAACCTAGCAACACATTTGGAATGGGTTACTGAGGATTTTGTTACATAATTCCTTGAGAAAATCGTTTGTTACGGCTTGTGAAAAATATAATAAGATAATGGTAATAGCAATGACAACAATAATGGAGGAAAAAAGATAAGGGAAAAAAATGTATCAAGTTTAGTCAGAGATAATTTCGTTGTTTACAGAACTTTAAAAAATATTTCATCTGTGACATTATTATTATTATTATTATTATTATTATTATTATTATTATTATTATTATTATTTGTGTAGAATTAGTTGCCCCCGACTTCAAGAGATAGCAAGATTTATTTTTTTTACTTAGATTTGCAGGTAATTATAATTTGACAAATTTTTAAATCCTTTTTTTTTTGGAAACATTGGAATCTTGTGGGCTTGTCATGTCATTAGATGGCAGGTTGTCGGGTTATTATTATTATTATTATTATTATTATTATTATTATTATTAGTGTTTTACCTTTACTTTCTGTAATATGAGCTTCTCCCAAGTTTCAACCGAACTTCAAGAGATAGCAAGATTTTTTTGTATCAGAAGATGCAAACAGATGAAGTATTATGTAACCTGGGAGAGAGAAAACGTGTAAACAAGTGGTAAGAATGAAGAAGTGCCCATAAGTACAATTTTACAATTCACTTATTTTAAAGCTATAGGAATTTGCTCCACATAATTGTTTTCTCCTTTTGTTATATTTTCGAAAGCCCCAATAAAAAACAGGTAACGGTGTTGTCATCAGATGCCACATTCTATTGAATCTCGAGGATATTGTATTTATTTAAACATTTTTCTCCATCATTTCCCATCATCTGACAATTTCATCCTTCATATCAGATTATTATTTTATTTCCTTTGATTTCTAGTGTGTACCCATTTCTTTGCGGGTCCCGCCCAGAGACCTAAGGTTAGAAATGGCATCATGACATTTTTCCACAGACCAATTAAAAAAAATAAACAAACAAAAAACAAAAAAAAACACACAAACATGTTTTACATAGATAAAGGCCTTTGTAAGGTATGGGCTGTACTCGTGAGAGCATTTTTTTGTATTTCTTTAAGACATAAACTTCCAGGAATCTCTTCAATTAGTCTATTATTATTAATTATTATTATTATTATTATTATTATTATTATTATTATTTCCTTTGATTTCTGTTGTATACTAATTTCCTTCCGGGTCTCAACCAGAGACCTAAGGTCAGAAATGGAATCATGACATTTTCCACTGAACATTTTTGTAAATAAAAAGAAGAAAAACACAACTTAAGATCCCACACATTTTACATAGATAAAGCTTTTCGTAAGGTGTGAGCTGTACTTGTGGGAATAATTTCTTTTGTATTTCTTTAAGGCATGGACTTCTAGTGATCTTTTCAGTGAGCCTATCGGAACTTTTTCCGATCAAGCCGGAAGTTCCAACCACAATTGGAATTATTGATGTTTTTTTTAGATTTCTACTTCAAAGGCCCTTGTATTTTGATTATTAATGCTTTTGCATAGTACATGTTATCCCAAGTGAAAACCAGAGACTTGAAGAGACCAAAAGTTTTCTGTATCAGAAACGAGGTACCATGCAACCAGGGAGAGATATAAGAAGAGAAATCTACGCAAAATGTGAGAAGTACCCATGAGGATGATTTTGGTTTTTGGCGAATCACATATTGTAGGGCTGCCAGGATTTTTTTCTACTAATATACACTCAATACAAGACCCAAGGGCCACTCAAGGTAGAGGGTTAATGAATGAGGTTGTTGTATTGAGCGTAAGAGGAGGAAATAAGGAGTGCTATTTATGAGAATATATAGGAAAGATATCGGTCAACCCTAGACTTGAACAGGTTAAGAGCCACTCAAAGTAGAGAGTTACATTTTTTTTAGAAACATTGGAATCCTATAGACAAGTCATGTCAGTTAGTTGGCAGTTTGTATTATCATTATTGTTTTGTCTTTGCTTTGTGTCATATTAGTTGCCCCAAATCTCAACCCGGGACTTCAAGAGATAGCAAGTTATATGGGCTTTTTTCTTTGTATCAGAAGAGGCAAACAGATGAAGTACCACGCAACCTGTGAGAAAGAAAACATTTAAACATGGGGTCTCTGTATGGAGAGAAATATACGCCAGATTTAAGATTAATACCCTTATTTCATTTATTTTAGGGCTACCAGAAATTTGTTTTCTCCTTTTGATATAATTTGGAAAGCCCCCCCCCCCATAAAAACAGGTAACGCTGTTGTTTTCAGATGTCACATTCTATTGATTCTCGGGGACATTGTATTTATTTTGGTTCTTAATATTTTCTCCATCATTTTTTATCATTTGACAATCTCATCCTTCAGATCAGATTATTATTATTATTATCATCATCATCATTCGATTTCTTATTATGGACACATACCTTTTGAGTTCTGCGGAAAGACCTATTTCAGGTCGGATCCTAACCTGATTTCATGTTAATTTTTTTTTTTTTTTTTTTTTATCTCCGGAGGACAGCCATGTCAATAAGAAGTTCACATTTGTTTTTGCTGTCTCTGAAGGAATTTTCTGTTGTCTCTGTCTGTGTTTATTCCAAATCTTTCAATGTGTTGTTTTGTTCCATTTTTGTAATTCCAAGTCTGCACCCATTACCACATGTCGGGTTTTGTATTCAATTTCCACATTTTTTCTATTTCAATTTCCAAGACAGTTAATTATTTTGGATATTTTTCATAGCATTTTGGTTAACTATGTTTTTTAATCCGCTGGACAAGTAATTTTCAATTAGTAGGCAAGTTTTTTTCTTTCTGGTTTTTCAGCAATAATGTCCCTGCCTATTTAGCCACAATTTTCTGTCTTTGTCTGGTATAATCCCATTTTGATACGTGACATCTTGACTGTCATTTCTTTATCCTGCCATCGTTTCTGATATCTTCGATTGCATTGTTTGCTTCCTTTTTCCAAAGTGTTTGCACATTGTCGGTGTATTAAGTATTGCCCCACTTTTATCGTGATTATTTTTTATATTCATTTTATTATTATTATTATAGAACATCCTGAGATTAGATGGTCTATTGTTTCCTTCCGGGTTGTCCAACAGAACCTAAGGTCTTTTGGATCCACATTTTTATTGATGATTTTTGCCTGAAAAACCCTAAAACAAAGATGACACATCTTTGCAAGAATAAAGCCTTCAGTTTCAGACTTTAATTTTGATGCTCGTTTCCATCGATGAGCTATTCCTTTATCAATCATTGGGTTTTCTTTGCACGTTCTGGATATTCCATGCAGAGGTTTGTCTTATTGAGAGTTGTTTCATCTGTTCAAAAAACTTTATCCTCCCAACATCTTTTTCATATCTTTTGCTGACAATAGTTGGTTCTTGAAGAACGATTAATTGATTTACCAAAGAATCTACTAAATGTAAAATCATTTTGTAATTATCCCCTTCTTTTTTATTATTGAATATTTTTTCTCTTGTTTTCATGTTGTTTCAACAATTTTATCATCCAGTCATTTGTTGTTTCCATGTATTAGTTAGTAAGATCAATAAGTTGTCTTGTAAACAATTCTATCTCTCAAGACCTCTTCCACCTTCTTTTACTATCTATGTATCTATCGGTCTATCATCAGCCTCTTACATGAGCCTTTTATATCTATCTATCTTTCTTGTTTTAGAATCCATTTGTCTGATGTCATTTATCCAGTTCAAGATGTTGAAACTATATTGGACCACTGGGATGGCTAGGTTATTAATCCATAATTCTGTTCTGAGAATCTCTCAGTCTGTTTTTAATATCTATCGTATCCTTCTATCTACTATTTATCTATCTATTTCTTTCATTTTCTTATCTATGAATTCTATCATATATTTACATCTATCTATTATAAGCTTCTCCTTGTTCTTAATCTTTTATTGTTATATATCTAAACTAATATCTCAGTTTGTTCTTATCTATCCTCGTAAAACTGTATCTTTAGCATCTTTATCTAAATTGAATTTCATTCCGATGTCTTCACTGAAGCATTTTACAGTTTATCTAGACCTTCCAGCTCTGTCATTCCTAGTCTACAATTTTAAGTCATCCATCTAAAATAGATGGTTTATTTTCTTTTGAGCTATTTTCTAACCGCATTCTGTCTTGTTTTGGCTGGTTAATGCTATCAATGATATCTAAATAATCTATCTATCTCAGTCTCACCTTGAAATATTCCTCTATTGATCTATTTATTTATCTATCTTATAGGTTCCATTTTTATGATTGAGGTTAAAGTGTATTTTCTGTTTCGACATACATTGTTTGATGAAATCGATGATAACGGGTGATACCTTGTACATACTTTAAAGACTTTTAAGATCCAGGAATCTTATCTATCGAATCTTTATCGATAATCTATCCATCAATCTATCTATTTTTTTCACGGAAGCAGTTTTCATATCATCCTATTTCAGTCTTGGTCTTTACATCTATCTATCTATCTATTTGCTATCTTTTATCTTCAATCTGGTATATATCATTTCTTCCAAGAAGAAATATGTCTGTTTTGTTAAAATTTAAATGTTAACAGTTTGTATTATTGTTGGAAGACATCTAATTTTATCTATAATTTTTTATCTATCTTTCTATCATCTATTTTTCTATCTATCTATCTATCTTGGTCATCCATGCAGGAATTTTAGTTGGATCGGTAACCATTTCTTGAAGTTATTATTATTATTATTATTATTATCTATTATTATTATAGTTTGATTTCAAATTTATGTATCTATTTGTTTTACCGGATCTAAATCTGAGGATCTAGGTTAGAAATTTTGATCATGACATTTTCCACTGGAGGACAGCCATTTTAATAAGAATCTTACATTTTGTTTTGCTATCTCTGAGGATTATCTTTGATTGTTCTGTCTGTGTTTATTGTAAAATCTCATTTCAAAATGGTTACAGGTCTGATCTATCTAACCGGGTCTCTATCCATTCTGTCATGTCTTCAAATTTATATT